AACAGTAATAAAATCAATAAACCGACCTTGAAAAAGCAGCACAGTTAAGAGGGAGGAGAGGCAGATATGAAAGTTCATCCTGGGACGCCTGGAACGACAACAAAAGGGACACTTAGCCAGAATGCAAAGTAAAAGCACTAAAATGCACATATATCTGGGGGGGTTTTCTTGTTCACGAGTGAAAGTCTTCTGTTATTCTCAAGGTGAAAAAAACTTTAGCAATATAATCCATCAGACAGACAAAATGTCAGAGACACTGGCAAACGAGCCAGAAATTGTGAGAAAGGTTTTTTTGTGAGCCGTTTTTGTGTTATACGGAAAACCACTTAAGCCTTGACACAATTCAGGAAATGTGCTATAGTGCTAGCCAAGGGACATGAGGACAAGTCTGTGTAACCCTACCAAGTAAAAATGAAAAAGTCATTAGCAACAGGGCACAACTACATTCGATCAGGGGGGCCAGGGGGTAAGTAACCCAAGACTGACTGCACTGTTACCATATTTTCATAGCTAAGTGTAGCTAAGTGGTTGAACTTTGGCCTTTCAAAGAGTGTCCATAGAGAAAAACCAGGGTGGTTGCAAAAACTTTTTAAAATATTTTCATACTATGCCTTAATAATTTTTCCTCAAACCTGATGCTGGGATCTACCTTTACTCTCATCAAGTTCACCATTCTCAGTGTGGGAATGACCCTAAACGTCCAGACATAATTTAGGAGAATTTAGAAGCTCTGTTTTGGTATTATTACCCTGGGAAAAGTGGCCTAACAGCATAATGTTGCCCTCAGGCAACAAACCACTAAATTCTACTTTGGTTATTAAATTAAAACAAAATCCAATACACTTCTTCAGATATTCGTCTACACGCCCAGAATTTTTTATTTAGTTATTTCAACTAATTTTACAGTGTAATAATCAAAAACACATGTGCCATTCTGAGAGACAGGACAAAACAACTGAGCATCGTTTAAAAGCTACAGGCTACCGGAATATTGTTGCTGACCATGTCCGTCCCCTTAAGACCGCAGTCTCCCCATGTCGCAAAGCTCAGATCAAACTGGATCCTTGAATATAACAATACTCAGCACACATGACTGTACTCAACTGGCCTCCAGAGTCACCAGCTCTTAATTCAGAAGAGAACCTTTGGGATGTGGTGGAGCGAGAGATTCACATCGTGGATATACAGCTAACAAATGTGAAGCAACTGCATCATGCAATTGCTGCACATTTATTTAAGTGGGTCTAAGTCAGTACCAGCCAGGTATACCTAATAAAGTGGTCAGTGAATGTAACTCACTTAACAAAGGTATCTTGATACCAGCATGTATACATATAAGTGTTTTGTCTGGGCTAAAAAGAATCCCATACGTTCCAAATGAAGCTCTTCAAGCAGGATGTAAACTACTTTGGATGTGTGCGTGTGTGGGGGGGATTCCAACAAGATACGAGCTATGTAAATATGTGTGTTTGAGAGTGTAATCCATGTTTACCACAGTGGTCACCCAGGAGCTGGGATACCAGAATATGCTGACATAGCCCCACGGCCATCTACAAACCCACTGATTATGATTTGATAACACATGCCAACTGTTAAGCAAGCATACAACCTGACCTCAGGTTAGCCGCACCATTACAATGACAGTCACATGTTGTCACTGTTTGATACACATACAATGTTAAGGGGGATGCATATAATATCTGATTAACTCTGGGAGCTGATAAGCAGGGCTAAAATATCCTTCCTGTGGCTGAAAAGACTGTGTGTGGTCCAACAGGTATGCATATTATAGAGACTAATATTTCCCTAGAAAGTAACCTTATACGGGCATTCCTTTCTTATGGGGACAAAACACAACACTCCTTAAAGGCAGTGGCCTTTAAAGTAAAGACTGCTTTAAGATTAGCAGTTCTAATTAATGTTAGAGCACATTTAAACAACTCAGTGTAAGTTAATGTTATATCCAATTAAATCATGGTTATATAATTGTGTGTGGACTTGCTCCAACAAAAGCCCACTATGCCTGTGGGATCTGACATTTTTGTGGGGACCAAAATGCTGGATCCCAAAAGCTTACATAGCTGGCCGAAGGTTAATACTTGACTTTAGGTATTCAGTAATGACATCTATGGTTAGGGTAAGGGGGCGTGGCATGTATTATGTAAGTGACAGGTCCCCACAAAGATAGCCGTACTAAAATATGTGTATCTGTGTATAGGTAGACCAGAGAAACCCTCTGTACAGGTAAAGCCGCGTGTATTTCTGAGACAGGGATGTGATTGTGTGCAGGATGGAGCCCCTCTTTAAGAGGAGTCTGTGTGTCTGTGATACAGATCTGCAGAGCTGACATGGTGTGGCTGTCTGAGAAGGCACGTGCTGATAAACATCAAGAAAAAGCTATTGATGCTCATTTTGTGCACTCGCTGGTACGTCTTGCTGACAACAGATTTCATTACTTCCACGGGGGTGCAGCTTAGAGCGCCCATGCTTGCACAGGGAAGCAGCCGACCATGCCGGCATATAAAAGACACTTTTACAGTAAACGTGTGTAGTGCGCACACCTGTCTCAAAATTGGCTTCTTCTTCACAAGCATTCCTGCCCTCCCCGAGTCTGCGTGCCAGCGAACAGCTTCTCAGCTGTCTGCTCTGGAATAGTGGTTCCAGCTAAATGAGTAAAACTGCACAGATCAGCCTGTCAGGGGAGTGAAAAGCTAATTAAAGTGCTACACTCTCCTAACCTAATGTCTTTCATATTTCTTATGTGAATGGGATGATTAACCCATAAAATATTAGCGCACAATTTCAGTGGTAAAATAATGGAGGAAGAGGAAGGGCCAAGTCAAGCTTTCCCACCAAACTGTATACTTCGTGGTAAATTGCCTTCATGCTGTATAATTAGAAAGGAGCACCAGTTTTTGAACAAGCTTCATAGAAACGGCAGAGATCTTGTAACCTGTACTTGGGAGTGAGTGTGTTACTCTAAGAAACATCCTGACAGTGTAAATCATTTTAGGGTGACTCACCTGAAACAGCTGCTTTAAAAACAGCAGAGAGCAAATGTGAAAAACTGTGCAGCACGGCAGTGATTAAAAGCCACAAAATGCTTTGGTATGTACCCACTGTAGTGATGTGTTGCTCTAACAAGTCGGAAACCACACACAGACAGACAGAGGATGCAGTCTCTGATGGGATTTTGAGGCAGCTTATCATCAGTTCCCAGTTAATCAAGCTAAATAAGATTATTGTTTAGAATAATTTGCAGCAAATCCAGTTTGTGCAAATAAGAACTCATTTTATTTTATTTTTTATGTTGTGTGTCATTGAGTTTATTGATACACACTCTGACAAGCCAGATCATTAGGTACACACTTTGCCAGTTTCTGCCCCTAGATTACTTAATTCTTTGTGGCACAGATTCCAAGGTGCCATAAGCATTCCCTAAGAGATTTTGGCCCATACTGGCATTTTAGCACAGCTGCTGCAGATTTGTTGGATACATATCTCTCATTCCTCCACATCCCAAAAGGTGTTCTACTGGATAGAGATTTGGTGACTGTGAGAAACCAGTTTGAGTGATTTGAGCTTTGTCATCCTGCTGGAAGAAGCCATCAGAAGATGGGTACACTGGGGCCATAAAGCGATAGACATGATCAACAACAGGTAGGTTACTGCATTTAAATGATGCTCAGTTTGTACTTAGGGGCCCAAAGTGTGTCAAGAAAATATCCCCAACATCATTACACCAACAGCAGTTTGAACATATAACACAAGGGAGGAAGGACCCATGCTTTCATATTGTTTAAATGCTGACTCTTCCAAATATCACAGCAAAAACTGAGACTTATCAGTCGAAATATTTCCCAATCTTCTGTTGTCCAATTGTGATGACCATGTGCAAATGTGTGATCTTCTGCTGCTGTTGCCCAAGAGATGCTCTTCGGCACACCTTGGTTTTAACAACTAGTTATTTACTGTAGTTTTCCTATCATTTTAAAGCAATTTATTGCACCCATCTCCTTCAAGATTTATTATCGTGCATACCTTTGCTATACCAAGTGGTTATCTGTTGCCTTTGTATCAGCTTGAAGCAGTAGAGCACCTTTGGGTTCACTCTGTAAACACTGCAGGGAAATGTCAGGTGATTTGAGCTTCAGGAGGCTCCTTTGACCACTTCTACATGTCGAAATACTCTGAGCTGCTTCTGTGTGATTGGCTCATTAGATATTCGTGTTGGGGGGGGATTAAGGTGCACCTTACAAATTTAGCGGGGAATATATTCAAATGCCTGGGATAAAACGTCGCTAAATTATTAGCATTATTTAACGGTAGCAGAGTTTACAGCGGTGGGTTAAATGTGCTTAATTTTCCCTCTGGCCTGAACCTCTAGTCAAGTCTGTCCACACCTGGTCACTGTTCCGCGTATGGCAGCTTTAAAGTCAGGTACAAGGTCCTAGCATGCTAACATTACAGTCAAAAATGGAAAGGCAGGTTTCGTCAGTATGCATATCCAAAGTGGTATTCCTTAAACCTTTTAAGCAATCTCGTAAATTCCTTTAGGTTACATAAAAAAAATAAAAAAAATCATTGTACAGTAACTTAACTCAGTCAAACAGCAAACTTACTAAACTGCTACAGAAAGTTAACCGTCACCAGCACATCCAAACCCACGCACCGATAAATCGTCTCCTCGCCGACCGCAGATTTTTCTCCTTTAAGCTGGAGCGCGTCTTCCGCAGACCGGTCCTCTCCGTCCTAACACCACCTTGTTTCCGCACTGATTTGATTTAATGAGGCGCTTTGCCTCCGACCAGAGAGGGAGCTGCGACCCCACCTACCCGACATGCCTATCCCTGAGGTACCTGCACAGATGAGTACTTCACATGACCTCCTCCCATCTCCAACAGGTACGAAAACGGAGTGGCTTAGATAGTTTTACATCCTGGTACCACTTAAGACACATGAAACTACAGAGGCATTAAAGTTAAACTTTTTCCCTTTGGTTTACTGTATAGAAAGCTTTAGTAATCCATCAGCTTAAAAGAACACAAACATCGCTGTATTGTCTTTTTTCCCCACAAAGTTTTACATAAAACTCAAACATGTCAAAACAGAAGTGAGTCAGTGTGAACATCTCACCTGAACAGGTTATTACGACTCAATAAAGGAACAGATGGCAGCACAGCATGGGCCACAACACTTACAGAAGACACACAAAGATAAAGAGAGCTGAACATCTCTTGTTGCTGAATTTTGGCATTTTTTTCCAGAGGAAAAGCAAACAAAAAAAATAACTTCAGCTTAACCAAAAATTAAAAACATAAGTAAAAGAGGCACATAGAGTAGAATCTCACAGATAAGGGAACAAAATTAAAAGGTACAAAGAAATATGGAGAAAGCAAACACAAGCTGGTTGGCAGCTTCTGGAGACCAGATTCAGTTTGGGAGAAACAATCTGGGAAAGAACAACAACCTTGATTTCAAAAACAGGATTCAACAATGTTGTTTATCATATTTCTTCTGTCCAACAAACATTTGGATCAGCGAAAGCTGCAGCTTCATCAGCTCTTCCAGCTCATCGATCTGTGGAAGAGAAAAGCAAATAAAGCAGTCGCTCGTTTGCATTTAATTTTAGAGAAAAATATAAAAACATTTTGTAGTATTAACAAAAGCATTTATAAAATAGTGCCATTTAAGATCTTTTAATGTTAATCAAAACTGTGAGATCAACTCTGACCTTGGCCTGCAGGCTCAGACAGCAGCAGCCTGAGGTCTGAAGGGCTAGGATTTGAATGAGAGCGGAAAGAGAATCAGAGCACAGCAAAACGTCATGTCCAAAGAAATCCAAACACTTGTCAGTTCAGGTGAAAACGATTCAGTTTCTAATCTAAAACATACACACCATCACTGTTGGAAGTATTTTGGATTGGTGGCTTTATTTGCTCAGTAATCTCCTTCACTGGTTCTCCTGAAGAACAAAAAACAATGACCCAGTCCTGTTATCAATTAAATACTTGATACACATCTTTTTACCAACCTAAATATACTTGAGCAAAGTAAAATACGGCACTTAAAAAATCTCACATTATTTTGGATACGTTTTGTCAGTTCTCTTTACACTAAAAAGAAACCAGTAACTTAATCCTACAATCACAATCTTATTACGAACCACAGGCCGATGCTGCAGAAATATTCATCTTCTCTTCCGGATGCTGGGATATTGCATCCACAGTATTTGCCAGCACTGTGGTGCTCACTGGCTCTTTTTGGTTTTCGGGTACCGATTTGGGCTTAGAGCCGTCTGGTGCGGCTGCAGTGTTGACAGATGTGCTGCTGCCAGTTTTGTCAGTCTTCTGGGTCGAGGTTGTGCAAGGGTTACTTCTCCTCTGGGCATGTAATGCTTCTGAGATCATGTCAGTGACGTTTCCCCCGCCCTTCTCAGCGGGCAGAGTGAGTGAGAGCACGTTAGCAGAGCCATCAAAGTGCTGGACTGTGGCGAGGACCCCATCCAAGACCGCGTTTTGAAATATCAGCTGCACTTCCTGAGGCCACTCTGCTGGAAAGTTCTCCTTACCTATCAATAAACATAAGGCAGTGCGACACGAGTCAGTAAACTAGCAAAGCCCAGAAAATGACAAAGAATACTTGTGCTGCCTTACCAGCAAGAGTGCAGCGAGTGATCTGAAAGGGAAGCTCCAGCGGGTTGCTGGGGATGGGCAAGATCCGGGAGTATGGCACCTTCTCACTGTTGCCATAGTCTGCATAGAGGACACTCACCTCTTTCTCACCAACTTCTAGGATTACTGCACGGTACCAGTTATTGTCAGCTGGAAAAAAAGAAGTCTAAGTCTATATTTTGTTTTGTAGTCACAGGAATTCCAACACAATTTAGAAAGAAAAATTGTCAAACTACTCAGCATTGAATGAAATATTACATTTATCCTCATTGGACTAACATATAGAACTCCTCTGACCTTACAAGCACTAAAAGCTCAATGAAAACAGACCTGCTGTAAGCTGGACTGTGGAATGTAACCCCAGCTAAAGCCTACTCCGTGTATACTGTGTTTAAAGCCACACACACACACACACACACACACACACACACACACACACACACACACACACACACACACACAGTATAATTATACCTACTAGAAGACATGAAATTACCAGCTTAGCTCTGTAAGAGCAAGAATTTCAGGTGGGGTTTCCAGAGCAGACCGCCAGCAATGAAAACTGGATGTACACTAACAGGATTAGTGTAACAGCAATTTTGTCCTCACTTGATTTTTTCTTGTTACCATGTTTATATTATTTATTAAATGAAAATTAGTAAACAACATTTCCTCAAAGCATTATGAGATGTGAAAATTAGTCTCCCTCAATCAAGCAAGGCGAAATATTTAAAATTAGATTATCTGTGAATATCTCATTCAGGACTAGCCTTCAAGTTCCATCCAACAACTTTTGTGAGAACCCATTTGCCCCCTTGTGGCTAGAAACAGTTACTGCATTGCCTGCGAACGGTGAACTAGTGCTGCTCTCTGTGTGTATAGCAGGGTTACAGTGACCTAAAAATCCAAACTAGGTGAGGAAAAAAACCTAACCGAAATTAAACAAAAACAAAAAACCCTGCCACATTTGAAGGAACCCCACCTGAGAACTGAGCACAACAAGCAGCCCCAGGAGTTGGTTTGCCCTTTACAGCTGTGGACAAGGTGGCCTGGCTGTTGCAGTAGACAGCCAGCTCCACCATCACCTCCTGAAGCTTTTGTTGATCCACTACAGAAATAAATCAATAAATAAACAAACAAACACAAGCATAGAGAGCAATTAGATAAGACACAGCAAGGTCTATGTTATGTACATGCATTTTATAAGACAGTAGAAGACAACTGTTTCAACCTTGAGCAGGACCCAGCAGATAAAAGATGGAGGGATTAATGATGCCCGCAAAATAAGGCTGAAAGGCATCACTGAGCGGCAGCTCCACAGTCTTCCACTCCACTGGAAAAGATGGCACTGAAACCAGAACGCAACATTATAAATAAGCCTCCTAAATCACCACCAGCATCTTGAGGACTTCCTCTCTTTGGCTGACCTTCTGTGGACACTGCAGTCCATCCTTCAGCTGGTATCTCTTTGAAATTAACTTCTGTCTGACTGGAGACTTGAGTTTCTAAGGGATCTTGCTCATTTGTCTTCACGCTTTGTTTGGTTGCAGAGCCTGTTGTTCCATGCGTTTCTCTGGCAATCTCTCCAGGAACTTTAGCTAGTTGCTCAGAAATTAAGGCAGCTGCCACATTTACTCCTCTGCTTTCCAGCTCCACACCGTAGCCCTGTTCAGTGACAGAGAGGACACGTGCAGAGAGCTGCTCACCATACACCTGAGTCTGGAACCACAGCACAGCTTCACTGCTCCACTCTGATCCAAGAGGCTCCACGCCTAAAAATCAAACACACACCACTCAGTATAATCTACCCTTTAAATTTTTGTATTTTTTAAATTCAAACGTGAACAAACTTCCATCTGGCTTTCACACAGTTCCAAAGCTATAATGCAGTCTCTCCATGAATGTGCCAAAATATATGACAATTTCTCACATTTCAAATATGCTTCATATTGTGAAACAGAGCTCTCACACACACACACACACACACACACACACACACACACACACACACACACACAACCTGTGAGCCAGCAGCGAACTGCCTGGAAGGGTAGAGTCAGTAGCTGGGCTGTAATGGATCGAAGGTGGCCCTTTTCAACTGTCAAGCTGTAGCCATAGTCCACAAAGTTCACAGCTACCTTGTCATCAGACAGCCCCGTCACCATAGCCCGACACCACGCTCCATCCCCTGGGGAACAAACAGCACATCATGTCCCATAAATGCCCCAAACACAAAGAAAGACAAGATTCATCATGAGTGGATTTAGATCACAGTGTGGGGAAAAAGCAGCTATAATAAAAACCCCAGAACATTTAACTGACAATAAAGTGTGGTTTGTGTCATGTTTTAGCAATCGGCTGCTGAGCTGATGACATTTATAAAGTCAGTGGTACAGCAGATGGTCTCACCAGGTAACAGGGCACAACAGGGCTCTCCCACCTTGGGCTCGAAAGGTGACGCATCAGCCTCACAATGCTGCTTTAACTGAGCCCCCAGCTCTTTCAGGCGCTGGTGGTCTGACAAACACACAGATAACACATGCATGCATCAATAAATGAATCCTCTGACTCATGCTGTTACTCTCTTCATACTGGATATTTATAGCTTAATTACTGGCATTTTATTTGCAGTATTGATCTGCATTTTTGCTTGCTTGTAAACACCATGTTGGGGTTGCCCACCTCATCATATTGTTTGTTCTGCTTACAAAGACAAAAGACCCAGACTACCATCCACTCTCTTCTGCTTATTTATTACTGTGGTCTCATTAAAAGTATCCTTAATTTTCTTTTCACTTCTGTTTTTATTTCCTTGATATAAAATATCTGAATGTTTTTTCACTAAATAAAACAAGCCTTTGCTAACATTTATTCTTACACTGGTGGTGCTAATGCAACTGTACATTTTTACAATATATGGAAAATATTGCAGAATAATTACATGACTGAAAATCTGATAGATTTGCTGCCTTTAAAAATCTAAAAATAACTAGTTATTAACGAAAAGTCTCTGTATATTTGCCGAGACAATGCTGCTATGGGTAAAAATGGCGGCTATTTAGGCTAAAGAAACAATACCTGTAGGACTGTCAATGCGGCAGTAAAACGCTGCTGGGTTCTCAGCCACGACAGTGACTAACAGTGCCACCGCCTGGCTGTTGCAAGGAAGCTCAGTACAAGACCAAACCAGAGGCTCACATGCTGGGAGAAACAAGGAAGCCAAATCACATATACACTTAATCAAGTTATAAAGTACTTTGGTTATTCATGTCTAACTTATCCACAAGCAAGTGGTGACTATGGCAGGTAAATTTATGACCACAAGAAGAAAATCCATGTCAATGTCACAGGCCTCTGCCAAAAAGGAATATTTGCTTCAGGTTTTCAGTTCTACATCATCATCATTTCCCCCAAGATGCATCAAATGAATCCAAATTAATCTCCCCATTTAAAAAAAAAAAAAAACCCAAACAAACTAAAAACCCAATAAAACCATTACTTTCAGATGCATCATACCTTGGGCCTCTGCAGTAACCACCGTCTCATTATCAGTAGTAACAGCACAAGGTGCAGCGTAACCTGCGGATATCAGCAATTCAGCTATATTGGCCTGTGGATCGCTGGACTCATCAATCATGGTCACCAATGCCTTGCCCCCATGTGCACCCTGGATTTCAATGTGCAGTATTCGGTTTGACACTCTTCGCTGCAGAGCCAAAAGGCAGTCCTCCGGCCAGCTCTCCCCAACAGGCTGAACCCCTGGAATGGAAACACCGCCCCCAAAAACAACAGAGGGACACACTAATCATGCGTTTCTGTATGATTTTCTCATTTAAAAAAAGACAACACCAAAGAAATGTAGTGTTTTTAAGTCAAAGTATACAAGTAACTTTAAGTAAAAATAGGACAAGTGAAAAAAATTAAATGACATTTGGCATAAAACTGAGCTCTCTCACATTCACAGCTTAACACGCTTAAGAATTGCTAAGCACTCAAAATCTACTGCATAGTGGAAAAAATACCTGCTAGACCACATGGAATAGCCTGCATGGGAAGGCGTAAGAGTGAGGAAGCGATGGGTCTAAGGTGGCCTAACCCGACCTCCTCAGAGTTGCCAAAATCAAGGTACCCCACACAGACACGTTCCTCTGATGAATAAGCCAGAATCTTAGCCCTGTACCATTGCTTGTCCTCTGGAGAGAAAACACGAAGAGCCAGAAAGTACATTTATTACACCATTTTAAAAAACACACCATCTCTGAATTAGCTTGTTAAACACATTTCAGGCACAGGACACTTTGAAATCAAATAATGATAAAAGTATTTAATTTTTCAAATACAAATATTTAACTCCACAGCATTCAGTAGCTCCAAATCATGTTGTGTAAAAACGAGTCAAACACTAGGACTGACAGAAATTGAAACCTCGAACCACTGAGGGGATCAATTTGACCCCATCCCACAACAACATCACCAAAGATGAAGATCAATCGATGAAAAAAACAAACAAACAAACAAACAAACAAACACAAAAACAACAACAAAATACTCAATTACTAGAATAATCAACAGCTGTAGCCCTAATGATTAGGTTTTACTTTAACAGGGTTTAAAAAGACCCCTCTGACGATTCTAGTGTTCACTACAATACTGCTGTACAGCTTACAACAGTTTTCATAGCCAGCTATAGCGTCATACTCCCATTGTAAAACATTAATAGGTACTAAAATGTTATACCTGAGAACTGGGCACAGCACACTGTGGTGGGAGCTGGTCTAAAGTTCTGTGGGGTTGCAACCTGAGAGCAGTGTTCCCTCAGCTTTAACTGCAAATCCTGAATCAGTCCTGCAAACCAGAGTCTCAGCACAGGTTAAAGGTATATAAAAAGGTTGAGTGATTTAAGTTGCATTAATAGTTCAGCAACAGCTTCTCACCAGCGTTCTCCACCTTTTGCACGATAAGTTCAGTGGGTGACTGGAAGTGGGTGACCACAACAGAGAGCTGATCACCCACTGCTTGTGTTATTGGCTCTGGTGGTTGTGCCCAGGTATTGTCATCTTTTCCATCAGAGAGGCACCGGAAGTTTTCCAAAGATGCGCTCATCATGGCATCTGGGGAAGAAAAAGAAAAAAATGGTTACAAAAACACATTTTAAATGTTACAAATTGCACTGACTGAGGATGTTGTATATGAATCTTACTGATATCTTGCACAGTTGGCACGATGTTAACTGGCTCTTTATCTGCATAGCCGTGTTCAAGGAGGAACGTGTTCAACTGTTTTCCTAAAAGAAAGAGACCGGGCGAGAGCTGGGCTTAAACATTTTAACTTCAGTAGATCCTTTAAATGTGCATCTCTGTTTTATATAAGTCACCCATGGAAAGCAGAATATCCACAGCATGAATGCGACCGTCTTCTACAGTTTCCACCAGCCTAACTGTGACAATCTTGCCAGCCAGCAGCTGTCTCACAGCAATGCAGCACTCGCCTGACCAGCTCCCCGCCACCGGCACAACCCCTGTGATACGACACTCCATTGCCTGCAAATAAAAGAGCCAAGGACCAAATTTAAAATGCCAGCATGTCACAGGGAATGTATTAACTGTGCAAATATGCACCCACACATGGGCAAAAAGGCTTGATGTCAGCCGTCAGGGCTCTGATCCTATCCACAGGGACATTTTCTTCATTGCCAAAGTCAATGTAAAGGACGTTAGCCATCTTATGGTCAGGAGTCAAAGTCTGTACAAGGCCTCGGTACCAGTTCTAGACACACACACACAAAAAGTGGGCCCAAGTCAAAACACAGCCAATGTAAATATTACAAATAGCAACCTGAGGACTTGCTTAAGAAGGCCTCGGCTCACCATATCACAGGAAAACTGAACCGCGCAAATCTCTCCAACACAGGGTACATGTGTTGTCACTGAGGAGCTGCAGTATGTTTTCTGAAGCTCTGTACTGATGCTCTGCAAAGATTCCAGCAACTCAGGGCTTTGAGGGACAAGGAAAAACCTGCTGGGGCTGTAGAACTCTACAACACGCACCTAAAAACAGCAACAACCCAAATCACTCATTCTGGTATTTAATAACACACAAAAAAATCTGCTTTTACTTTTGAAGCTTGAGGCAAACTGGATACATTTTACCTGGATGTCTGTTCCCTTGATGACTTTAGTTACATGCAAGTCCTTAAAATAAACCCTCCGGAGACTAGACAATTCACCGTGCTTCAATATACAAATTTTAAAAAAATAATAACACAGATTACTTTCTTTAACTTAGTTTTGATTTCAAATTGTGCAAATGTGAAGCTTTCAACTTTTACTTGCATTAGCATATCAGTGAAGTATTGCAATTACCTTCAGCTCCCCCAGGCTGGCTCTGTCTTCTTTAGCTGGCACAGCCGCTGCTTCTACTGGTTTCCCTCTTTAGATTAAGATAAACAAACAACTTCACATTATTTATTGGGCATTCCATCTAATTTCATCCTATGCTGGTAAAACAAAAAATGGATATTTAAGCATTCATTAATATTAACAACTGTCAGCCAGTAGCACATTGTGTTGCCCAAGCTTACTTTACAGGCTCTGGATCAACGGCTTTGCACACATGTCTGTGGGTCTTCCAGTCTTCTGTCTGACAAGCCACTGAGCAGTAAGGCACCTTCTTACAACGCTTGCATCGAAAATTGCCTGTGAATGAACAGTTATTTCAGACTTTACTAAAATGCTTACATAAGAACAACAGCGCTGAAATGAGAGTGCAAATCACTAAAGATAACCAAAAAACAAAAACAAATTAAGAGCCTCTGGCTTAAAAAAACAAACAAAAACATGCTGCCAAATAAACACAATGCCACATTTAAACTGTCATATTACCTTGGTGACCACAGTAGTTGCAGAAATGCACAGTCAGAGATGGCTGACCAGATCCCAAAAACTGTAAGGGGAAACAAAAATAGTACTGACTTTTATTTCTATTCAACAGTCTTCTACTTCTTTTGGAAACTCCTTTTAGAGCAGATCATCTGTCTCACTCTAACCCTCAATAGCTTCCTCCTTCGTCACACCAACCCTCTGCATGTTCTCCTTCAGTGCATCCTAACTTCCTCTGAGGTCTTCCTCTTTCTCCTGCCTTACACCTCCAAAACTATCCTGAGTCCAATATATCCACTATCCCTCCTCTGCCCATGCCATCTCAACCATGGCTCTCTAACTTTGTCTCCAAAGTGCTCAATCTGAGCACTCTCTTTGATATACTTATTTCTAATCAACCCCACACATATCTAGCAAACGACAAAACCATCAACAATACATACTCCAGATTTATCCCTGTTCACTGATGAATTTATGGGACCTGCAAAATGAAAGGAAGAAAAAAAACGAGCAAATTATTTTTACAGAATTATCAGATTCCTTCATTTTTAGTTTTATCGGTGAATAACAGCATAACTGCACATTTTGGAGTTTTTTTTACCGTCCCCAATGGCGCCTGATGGGAGGCGCACGGCTGGAGCGCTGGGCATGGTGAGGTGTCTTGGAGGAGGTAATGTACCGCAAACACCCGCTGGGATCGACGAAGGTTTCCTCAAAGGCAGGTTTGGTCGAACCACATTTGTCGAAAATGAGCGGTTCATTTCAGTACCTTTCAGTGTTATATAACAAATGACTGTATCAAGACATTATACTTAACTTATATCTGCACTTTAGCATTCTTAGCTAGCTAAAGGTTACTAAAGCTACGAGTCAAGGTCACATAATAATGCATTAGCAAACTATTTTTAAAAATTCACGTTAAACGAATAAAAACCGCCAGCAACACATCTGAAGAGCATTATTCTGTCAAATAATCCAACAAACGTAACGTTTTAGTGTACTTGTACACCGCAGACTCAATGCCGTACCTTGCACGTGTTGTTTGACCAGAAAGGGAAAAAAGTTGTGCTCATGCGCAGTAGCATCAGTGTCACACAGTTCACAATGTTCACGAGCCCAAATCAAATCAAGTTTAGTTAACAATTACTGAAGCCGATATGTTGGCTTATTATTGAGAGGTTAGGAGGAAACATAGGAAAAGTAACTGGACTGAATAGCAAAA